CCCCAAAACCCCAAAACCCCAAAACCCCAAAACCCCAAAACCCCATGAACATAAAATAAGGTGAATAGTAAGAGTGATAGTTTAAGATAATTAAAGCTTACTATTAAGGTATTCTTATATAAGAAGAGAGAAGTATGTTTAAGTTATAAAAACTATTCCACTTTGTTCAGTATCCATCGAAAGTAGTTGCATAAGCATAGTTGCTCTAAATAATCCATCACATTTAGTTCATCCATTTATCCAGCATATTTGTAAAACCACCGCCTGTAGTAGCAGTGCCTCCGTTGTCAGTTCCAAACTGATTTATGCTCTCGTCCTCATCATAAATGTTCAACTCATCTTCAAAGTCATTTTAATCCAAATCATTTTTCCCTATATTTCCCACTTTGTTGTTTTTCATTTTGTGTTCATTTAAACCTTTAGACTTCATCGCGTTCTGATTTTTCTTTTCGAATGTTTAAAACATCCAATCATTGCTGTCCTAGTCTCCATCTCCATCATCATCTTCAACATCATCTGCATCTCCTATAAAACCGTTCTACTAGAACTGATTATTTATCTGGCTTTGCTGCATCCCTCCTACTTTATTTAAAACTGATTAGCGTTTGGAGGCTGATTCTCTTTTGTTCTCCTCTTCCTAGGCCCAATCATCGACTTCTTATCCTTTTAGTATCTTATGCTCTAATTCCTAATAGATCTATTCCTATCTTTCCTCATAGTTTTTACCGAGATGAGGTCCCATTCCAAAGAATATTCCTGGGGTATTTCTAATTACATTTTCAATGCAATTTCTATCGGGTATAATAGGCCCTGAGTTGGTTCTCTAGTGTATCTTACTATTTTATCCAGTTCCTTGAATTTGCAATTTACTTGCAACATTTTAGTCTCCTGGGAACTTAAACCCTGTACCACCCACTATCACACCTGGAGGTGACTCATTTTGGATGCTAGTCTGACTATTTTGGCTATTATCCCCAAGATTGACATCCTTTGGAGGACTATGTGATCGTGCTCGTCTCTAGAAAGGGAAAATATAGTTTTACTCATTACTTGGCGAGATTTTCTTCTCATCGAAAGCTTGCTTTTCCTCTGGCTTGTAGTTAGTTTCAATCTCTAAGAGCATTTGTTAAGTGCTTTGAGTTGGAGGATTTTAATCTAATGCACTATATGATTTAGGGTCTCCTTATTAGCAACTTTAAGCTTTTTTAAGTAGCACAACATCATTGGGAGATTGTGAAATATCAATAATGCTAGTATTTTCACTCTGGACAGGGCTGTTTTCTAGATAATATCTCATTGCCTTGACGCTCTCAATGTCTTTTTAAATTCCATGCTTCTTCATGTCCAAAACAAAGTTAACATTCTACTTCTTCAAAACTTTGTGATTGAATCCAGGAGAGCCAAACTTTACAAACTTCTTTTTAAGAGTAGCACCCATTTCATCTTTTTCAGACTAAAAATTATTATTCGACCAAACATTAAAAATTCTTACATTCTATAGCTAATCTTATAATTACTACGTGTGACTATTGGCATTGCTATTGAATCCCAGCATATTTTTAATGAAATCAAATGCTAGTTGTTTCCCCTAACCACCATTTGTAGAGTCAGCTGTGGTTTTATTCTAGCTGATATCATTATAGGCGGCATGAATAACTGGAGGACTTGTATTAGATTCTTTATACCTATCATTGTTGGAGTCATACTCATTAAGACTACTATTTGAATGCTTAAATTTTATTTCAGATTTTTTAATCACTATTTTCTCACCTGGAGAGACAGTCCTTATTGGCGATACTTTTTAAGATGAGGCTACTTATGGAGATGGAGAGTGATGTATCATTGGTGATGTAGATTGCATTTTCTCCATTTATTTAACTACTGGTGAAGTATTGGTGGTCCTGCTGGCTGGGTCTTTTCAACTTGCAATTTGAATAAAGGATTTATATCCCTTTTCTTGTACTTTATTATTCTAAGCACAAGAAGCAGCAGTATTCTAGACTGTGCCGCTTATCAAATTCTGTGATGGCTAGCCTGACTTTGTAGTCAGCTATGATACACCATTTTTGGAGCTCTTACTGAAATTGAAGTTAAAACCTGATTTCTAGCTAGTGGTGCTATTTCTTTCCTCTTACCCCGCTGGATTATTTTAAACTGTAAACGGATGATTTCCAACATTATTATTATTCAAGAATTATTTTCTTGGAGATAATATTGTAAGCTTGCTTTCTCCTTGTGAAGTGATGCTAGTGCCGTGTTTTTAAGAATTAATAGGGTTACTCTGTCTTTAAGAGGTAGTTGTTATAATACTGCTATTTTGAATGACTGACTCCCTGTTAGTTAAATTATTTGCATTATTACTGTTAAGACTAGGTCTGCTGCTCAGTCATTCATAGACATTTGATGAATTTTACAAATGATTATTACTTGTGCTAATAAGAGACTCTCGTACAGATTTCCTTGGGCTTTTGGTTATTTCTGGATTATTTGTTGGAGAAGCAAGTTTCTATCTAGAAGCTGTAAAGGATGAAGGGAGTTTTGAATCGTGTAGCACAGCATTAGTGGTGGTTTGAGAAGTGGGTTTTATAGTGGATTGCTTTTTCATTTAAGTAAAATTAGCGATTTTATTAACTTAATTTAATAGGACTTGTTAAAATATTAGAATTAATATAAGCCAAGAAATATGAGAGCTATAACACTCCTGATAGGTAAAACTATGAGCCACAATGCACCTAGAATTTTGAGAAGTCAATAGAGAAGTATCATTCATAGGGCATTTGGATTTTAAATGATGAGATCATTCTCGACCTAGCCACCTCATATTATAGACCCAGTTGTATTTAGTATGAAAAGTCATTAAATTTTAGATTGATTAACAAGATATGCAAAGAATGCAAAACTCATTAAAGGCATTTTCACAACTTATAACTTTAGGCAGATTTAAGGAAGCTCAAGAATGTTTAAATAAGCATTCAGAGGATATCAGGCACTATTTCCCTGAAGATCATCCTGCAACATATTCCCTGATTAATAACTAAGCACTACTTTACAAGGTAAGCAAATCTGATTCCATATTGAATGATAATCTTCCTAATATAGCTCAATGGGTAATTTATGGAGGCCAAAATAATGTTCTAGAGAGTTAATGATTCTTACACCAAACTCTATGGAGAAAATCACCCTTCAAGTATCAATTCCTTGATAAATCTAGCCACTGTCCATAAGGATTTGCAGGAACATGACTAAGCTATTCCTCTTTATGAAAAAGCATTGATTGGCAGGAAGATTACTGAAGGAGAAAATTCAGTTGCTTACTGTATGGTTTTAGCTATGGCATCAGGGTCTTACAGAGAAATCGGAAAATTTGATGTTGCTGAGAAGTACATTAAGGAAGCATTTGTAACAATAGCTTCTGAATATGGTGAGGATAGTATTCCTGCAGCTGTGGTTTTGAATAGTATGGGTATGCTCTATAAAAGATAATAAAAGTATGAGAGGTCTTTAGATGCTTATGATCGAGCTTTAGCAATAAGAGAGAAGGAAATGGGCGAGGGCCATCCTGATACTATTGCAGTGAGACATAACATAGCTGAACTTTATATCACTTGGGTGAAACCTGATAAAGCTTAGGAATACTTACAGAAAAATATTGAGATTATGGAGAAGAAATCTCAATAGGAGAAAGAAATCTTAAGCTAGGGTGCTGATCTAAAAGAAACTAACTTTGTTTGAGGAATATAGGCCGATTATTGGATAAAATTAATTACTAATTATTATTGCAATATGCTATAATTCTGTTAACAAACACATTAGGGGGTTTTGGGGTTTTGGGGTTTTGGGG